ACACGGAATTAGTACGAACAGACCCGTGGTGTCTCGTACAACGCTGATTTAATTTGACCGATTCGAGTAGTTTAATTTGCTGATGAATACATACGTTAGTATTAGTTCTGTAGCTTAAATAGTTGTAATCCATGTTTCCTCTATATGATGAACGGCATCGTAGTATTTCAGCGAAACTAAGTACTTCAATTTCTTCTTCTATCAAAGAGACGACGGATAGTCACCACTAGCGAAAGTGAACCTTACAAGTAAAATTTGCGGCGCACGCCAGGAGAAGCAGACGGAAACCAACGTCGACACCGTCATCGACAGTCAGGGACAGGCCACCATTGGTGTTCATTGTTGCACTCTCTTGTCAGAGAAATTTTTCGCACTATAATTTACTGGATATTCAAGGCTATTTTACTTGTACATATTTTTGCGCCATTGATCTATTTTTTGCTTATTCAGACTCTCCTTCTAATCGTTCATTAAATCGGCTTCGTCGGCACGCATTCCACAACAATACGCAAGAATAGCTTGGAGCCTTTTTTCGGTTGTAATATGTCGCAAAGGGATTTCCCAGCCTTTCCCGGCCTTCTGTTCCCCAGGCCGTATTTGGTTGTTGACTGATAAGAGGCTCACATATCTGTAGTTACCAAGCATCAATTTGCTATGTTCTAGTCAGAGAGATTGCCGATCTATGCTATCTCAATATGTATATTGCCATCAGCCCGTGCCTTCTTGGCCCGAATAAGCGCAAATCCGCCGAAGTCAAACATACAGCAATCGATCCATTCGCGTATGATCGGCTGACCTCTAGCTAATCAAAACAACTTCTACTAGCTTTTGATGTCATTGTTGTTCTTGTCTTCTATACCTGTTACCATTTCTGAAGTTCGTCACTCCAGTGAACTCTCAAATACGCATATTTCCGTAGCGCTCAGTTGCAACCAGGTAGATAGCTAAATAGATCGTAAGTAGCCGAAGTAAAGGCAATTGTATATTTTATGCTTTCTCGTCGTTTTCCTGCAGCTTTTTCTGATCGGCGGTCAAATAACTCGAGCTTCGACGTGCACGTGCTTCGTAAAGCTCGCACTTCGTGAAGAACTGCTGGTACTTTATCTGGCTTGTCGCCTGTTGACTTCCCGTCCCTCAGGTCGCTGCCGGTCGCCAGCCCCAGCCGAGGAGATTTTGCCAAAATGCTTGGCTGTTATATAGTGTAAGTGACCGTATCTTTTGTTTACCGACGCAAAAAGCAGCAGCGGCAATGAGCTCTCGCGGCAGTCGACCCAACAGGCTTGGTCAGGGGTCGAAGCGCGAATGACTTGCCATCACAAAAAGCGCCCCCTGTTGAGAGACTGGTCAGCTGTAGAAACGGATATGATGACGGTTCGTCAATCGAGCCGACAACAAGTCGTTGAAGCCGCGTCCGTCGCCAGTTGCAACGGTTCCGTTTGAATGATAGACCATCGTAAGAAGAACCATAAAAGGGTTTCTTTTCTCCAGTCGCGCTATTCAAGTGAGCATTGAAAACGTATTGGACAATCAGATTTCTCTTCAGAATCTAAACATTTCTTTGGTGAGCTCTTATCGCATCGTAATGTATTCATCCACTCAGGGTGACTGTAGTATCTAGAGTAAAATTTATGGACCTGCTCGTGCCTAAATTCTGCAATGGCAGCAACAACGAAAAAAGGCGAGACATAGTCAGTATTCTAGTAACTAAGTAGGTTCCATATCATATGTGCGCGATCCATCTCAGACTCTAATTTGCCATGAGCTGCTTAATGAAATCACGGCACTAGCTTAGTTTTGTGCTCGTCTGTTTGTTGCTCGCCTTCAGCTTTGGTCTTCGATTTAATCCGGCTGAACAAACGAATCAGCGAGTTCTGGTTGCAATCAAGATTTATCCCTTTTCGAATTACAGATCGAATTCGTTTTAGTTATAATTGTAGTAGTTCCCTGTTACAATGGCCCTTCGCACCCGTCAACAGACCTCAAGCAACAGGAAGGTCTAGAGTATAGGCCAATATTGCCCATTCCTAATAATAATAATTGCCACTGCGGGTGACAATTTGTAGCACTTCAGTAGCTCCAGCATCACGATGGCTTCGCTTGTGGCAGCTGTGATAATACGATACCACAATAGATCATTACAACAACTGAGTGAATGAGCGGGCAAGCGAATAAATGAACCAGCGAGGACTCTGACCGTGTCTGTCTTTTGCGTATCGTTGTAGCTAGGCTGTCTGTGGGGTTGAGCGACAATTTTGTCATCGCCGCTGCCTCACTACGTTTACTACGCGTATTTCATTATTAGCCCCCTAAACGATATATACATATATGTACGCCGCTTTTAGTCTGTCTCGGCTGCTGCTGCTATGGTGGCGGCGACAAAAATGCCTCAACGATGTGTAGAGCAGTGCTCACGCTCGCATCGATTTGCCGTGATACACATCGGGTCTCCAAGACTTCTTAATATCACTGGCGATCGACGGCTATTGCTGCCTGGGCTACCATGTAGCACCGCATCAGTTGTCCTGGCATCAAAAACCGCAGCTGGGGTGAAAGCACCACAGACGGCACAGCCTGAACCGGGACGCAAATCAAGACGGCAACGACAAATGCGGGAGGAACGCGCTGCCGCGGCTAGTGGGAAACCGCACACAGAAATCGTTGCTAAGCTTCTAGTTATTTGTGTCCGTTTTGGGTCCCGGTTCGTTCACCTGCGTTTATTTCGTCGTTTTCTTGCTTTTGTTGCTATTGTTGCTATGAATGTTGCCAAAACATCTTCCAGTTGGTCTGTTACTCGCCAGCTACTCGTTGGAGCAACTTCGTCATCATTTTGATCATCGTCTGTCTTTCGTTGGCGTCTTGCGTTCTGGCGGCTGCAATACGAATTTCGTTAACTACTACGGCTATTCTTGAATCCGCTGTTTGTACTGGTCGGCAGAGCCAACGCTAAAATAAGGGAAACAGCATTAGCTTGTTTTTCTTTTGAAAGCACACGCCACCAACGACGACGGCTACAGTCTCTGCTGGTGACGCCCGTCAGGCAACAGGTAGACATCAGGGTAATGGATAGCATTAGAAGCGATGTTGCTAAGTTTACCGAAATGTCGCCGCTGCCATCCTGCTGCCGGTGTTTCATCAAAGACGAGCCAACTGCCCAGCAACTGCAGCGATAAACAGAAGAATGAAAAGACAGGAAACCTGATGACCCGTTACTTCGGTTCAACTCTGGGACTACACGTAATAGCTTCACATAACAGTGCAATCAGGGTGGCACCGACAGGAGCAACGGTGTTTTTCTACAGAAGTTCCTTATAAATTGTTCTCCGTGTCTAATGCAATCGGACTCACGTGCTACCATAAGCAAGGAATGGCTCATGGGAAGATAACTGTTCAAATCGCAAAGCTTCCTCTTTTTTTGTCGTCTGCTTCCGCTAATACGGTCACCTCTTCTTTCTCTCTTGGTAATTATATGCGGATTAAAGATGTTGGTTTTTTTTACGTTTGGGTATTTTTGGGGCAGATAAATAAGGCGAACTTTGTACCGTGAACAGTAAAAAAAGCAATAACGTATTGTGCAGTATTACATATTGAAAGTAAATGTCAGGCCAATTACTGAAAATGGACATCGATCGTAAGGTATTCTATTTTTTTTTTTTATATTTTCAATATTTGTCAGCTTGTCTGGACATGTTTTTTGCTTTACGATTCGCAAGACGCATCCACCTTTCGTGTTGTTTAATCCTGCTAACGAATTCGACAGCCCTTATTCAAGAACCGTTGATAGCTCTACAGATTTTCTAGCTTCGACGGTTCCAATAATGATAACAAAAAAAAAAATTGACGGAAAAAATTTATATGGAACGAACCTAATCCTGTCCGCTTAGAAAAGCGCGTATACATGCTTGTGGAAGCTTTTCCTGTTATAACTGAACAACCTATGGATGTTATATTATATATTATTATAGTTCCCTTGCGCATTAATGCAAAACCTAAGACCTATTCTATGCATCTGAGCCGGCCATTAGCCGAACGCGAATGGGAGTGTATGTTGAGATACACTGATAACTATATGTACATCCGAGAATTCTAGAAGAACGAGCTGAAGATAAACGATGGCCGTCGGAACAACGTCAAAACAGTACGTATTTTCTGTAAAACATTTGTCCAGAAAAGTAGTCCAGTAGAAACGTAACAGGAGAATGCCCCTTAACTCCGACTCCGTTCTAATGCATCTGTTATGTGAGAGATAAAAACATTTATCCATTCATCTATTCATCCATTTATTTTTACGACATAAACGTTTCCAGTTTCTGCGTCTAGTTGGCCGTTGAGCATTGCTTCATGTGGCTGGTTACTGGCTCCATACCTGTTGGGGCTGATAGAACGATTGTAAGGAACGAATGGCACTCGCAACAAGACCTGGATATCCCCTGTTCCACCGCGCCGCTGTTGTTACCGTCCGGCGCTCCTGTTGTTGTTGTTAGTCAAACCATTATATGATATTGTACCAGTCTAGCCGCTTCTGCTGCCTGCCGAGAAGTAACTGCACAGCGAAGTAGCAAAGTGACCAGCACCTTTGCCGAGCGTTGCTGGGCATACATTATTACTTATCATCACAGCCAGTAACTACAAGTTATAGCGCTAACAACTTCTAGTATTGTTACCGCTACGATAGCTAATTACGCTCTAGTTGCTCGTCAGCGGGGTTGACGCGACAGTACACTAAAGGACAACCAGTTTTGATGTTCTGGAAGACATGAGACAAATTATGAACGCGCATTATAGCGTTCGCGGGGCGGAAACTGGCGGCTATGGGAATATCTCGCTGCGTATCGGTTCGAATAGGTGAATAGCGGAATCATCATTCCGAAGCGATCGGCTACTCCAAGTGCCCCGACAGTTACAACTCGACAGAAGATAGCAAAAAAAAGAAGAACTACGTATGATTCTGTGAACAACAGCGTGGAGCTCTGCAGTGACGGCTGCAGTTCAGCGACAGGAGAAAATAGTACGGGCCAGATCGGGCATTAAACAACGACAAAATATTAACTCTGTTGACTTCAAAACGCAGCCTAAGAATCGCCAACTAGGAGGAGATGATTAAGCAGAGCCAAAACAGAATAAACAGAAGAAGAAGATTCGGCCAATGGACGATGGTTCAGTGCCGGTTGCAGTGGGAACGTCATCGAGCGTCGAGGATCCGGCGCCAGGAGCGGAACGCTGAGTAGCATCGAAGACCGAAGACGTGGCGCATTTGCTGCCGTTTGAGCCGGAAAAGTTGATGGCGACATAGTAGAAAGGAGGTTGAGGAAAAAAGGGGAAAAGGATGAGGGTGCGAGCTCCTCAATCTCATCGGTCAACGAAGAAGGTTCAAGAAGAGGAATCGCACTGTGATCGGAGGCAATCTGGGCCAGAATCTTGCTCGTGAGGTCACCGACAAGCGACAGGCCCGTTTCTCGATCTGAGTAAACTACCCAAAGTGTACACTTTGGAGCACAACCGATAAGAAAAACAGAGAATCTTTAGTTGTGCACAATTATAATATTAGTGTAACGCCAGCGGATGCTGAAGGTGTTTTTTTTTAACCGAAGATAAAATCGACGAGCGTTTTTGGGTGACAAAAGATCTGTTAGGCGCAGATTCGTGTCGAGTCGATGGCAACAAAGAAGATTTTTGAATAACAGTTATTTGGAAAGCGTGCAGTTTGTAGCGAGGTTTGTTACTCTCACGAAATGCTACTCGACAAGATCGAAAGCGTTTGTGTGTGGAAAATATGGATGCGCGGAAATGATCCCATTATGAGAAGGTTCATATTGGCCGTGTTTAGCGTATTAATCGTGGCTACGAACTATAGTTATGGTGAGCGATCAATTGTTCCCTACCTAATGTACCAGCATGAAAGAAATTAAAAAAATATTAACGAAAAATTTGCTTGCTAAACTAACAAAGGAGGCTTAGAAGCGTACGTATTAGCTAAAGTTAAATCCATAGTCAAATCAAAGTAAATACAAACCCGGTCCGTATCTTTATATATATAAATGACAACAAATCTATTTACCCTATGTAAAAATGTGAAAATAGTATATGAAAAGTTTAAATGTGCAGATGAAAGAGAAATCAGAACCTCCTTGATAGCCACAACAATCAAATAAAGAACTTGGCATCAAATAGATTTTGCTTTTCGTTTCTCATAGAAAACGATTTCATTTATATAAACTGGTTATATTCATAAAAAGATTAAAGAGTGATTCTGGATAGAAATGAGATAAAAAGGAAAAGTGGTACTTCTGTTTTTGTGTTCGCTAAATGCTCTTTGCTTTAGTGTAGGGTCAAATAAACAAAAAAAAAGATAAATTAGTCCTACTGCATGCTTGTCTGATTTGATCGACTTATTCTAACCGAGTACTAAAAGCTGTTCCCTTGGTCCAGATTGTCTTCGTTCATAGTGTATTTCCTTTTCTAAAATGTTCTTTGTTATAAAACAGTTGATACCTTTTATGGCAGTTGATCAAAAAGTTCAATTATTATAAACGGAAGATAAAAATAAGTGCAAAGATACAAAGCTTTTATTTATTTGATACTTGAAACAAGATAATGTAAAGTCTCCTCGCAGTCTACCGGTAGAACGTCCCATGGAAGCAGCGTCGTTGCTGTTCGGCGATAATCTCTATTAGAGCCCACAAGGACAAACGTTACCTGTTTCTCGATTCTGCTACAATCTAACAGTGGGTTTGTACTAAATTTTGAGTTAAGAAGCAAATAACGATGCGCAGACGGCAAATCAGAAGATTTTGTTACACGCTACAAAAGTACCCGATATAAAGTTCGTTTAACTTTATATCAGGGAATAGGAACCCTGTAATTCCCGTAACGCGAAAAGCCATAGTAATATCTTACAGAGGAGCGAGTGGATGACATCTAATTGGTTATCGTAGTTAGAACCAGTGGACGATCCCATTTCGCTACCTTCCTATGTGCGTCTAATGATCTCTTCTTACTTTTGGCGAAAATATCAATTAATGGAAAATTATCTAATTTCATTATTGTATGAGCCGGTTAGAAATACAAATATTATACTATTAAACGAGAGCCACATTAAGTTTGAATTAAATAATTAAGCATATTATTTGTCCAATTATTATGCCTTTGTCATTGTCATCCGGCTGCTGTTGCTTGTCGATGACCACCGCCAAATCAAAACATGTACGGAGCTGGGGCCATACGTGGACAATTTGTTAACAGCTTACGAACTTATGGTCGAAATGGCGTCGAAAAAACAACAGACTGGTCGTTTGTTGCTCTAGCTTTAATAGAAGTCTTATTGTTTCAGCATCATTCATTGTTTTTTTATGGCGACGGATATAATGCTTTTTCTATAGCTCTAGGGGAAGATTTTTACATCTGCACCCAAGGTAGTGTCGTATATGCCTTTGACAGTAGGAGTTTTTCCTTTGAGACAGTATAATCTTAACGTTATGTCATCACGGACTCTATACGCTAGCCTGTATTGCGGTTAATTTATGCTGTCATCATTGTCAGAATAGACGACCTTTTGCCCGACTGTTTGGGCCAGAGCTATTTGCTTTGAGTTTACCGTGATACATGTTTGTCCAACTGATTTAAGGGCATGTAAGGCTATCTAAGTTCGACTTGTTTCTTGCTCGATAGGGCCGTTAGCCATTTGGAATAACAATGCCTCACGAAAACAGTACTCTATGTTATTATTTTTGTGCGGAATATGTGCTCTAGGGTATAAGATGGAAGGTCTGTGTTCATGAGGAATGTGGTGACAATGTCACAATAGCGTCTCTACGTCGATACGTGTTCATACGTTTTAAGTTACAATTTTTTATTAAACCAAAAGTTGAGAATTTTTTTTTAATGCAATTGGAGCATTATGGCAAAATGTGCTTAACAAACGAGATAATATTGCTATTATATTTTGTATTAATGACAACCTGGCCAAGGAGTTATCAACGGGTGAATCAATATGCAAATTCAAGCTTATGCTAGCGTGCGTGACTAGCAATAGATTGCAGTGAATATTAATGCTAGGTGATAATCAGCTATCGATAGTTAGCATGTTAGCGCCCAAAAACGTTTTCCTTGCTTATCCAGTTGCTGCAGGATAAGTCACAAAGATTTTTATTCTAATAAAAAGAAAAAGACGAATCGTACATTCGGTATTACAGCTAATAGTGGCTCCATCTGGCGGCAGTTTAATCAAAACGAATCGTTTATAAAAGAAGACTGTTTCAAGGAAATATCTTAAATCCACATCCTGAATTCAAGCAGATGGTTATCGAGCTACTGATTGAAGCAATTGGGTTAAACTAAGACCTTTAAATCGGTTGATTGTCCTTTCATTTGCCTAGAACATAAAAGCTGCGCTTTTCAAACGGTATGATATAAATGCATCAGCTCTAAACGGGCCGTTATTGTAAAATTGTTTCCGGAATATTCCGAAATGATCGACCTTTGTTATCAGTAAAGAATAAAAGCTTGCTATCGTATCCATCCGTATTATAATCAAATTATCACGAACAGCAGCTAAAGTGGTACCCTTAGCTGTAGTACTTTAATAGTAGTGTAAGCTAGTTTCTATTTATTATTTTCCAGAAAAAGAGAAGTTTAAAAGGACGCCAAATTCGTTTATCTGAAAATAACGAGGAGCCTAAATATGTGTTTTTGATTTAGAATATCGCCGTAGCCTAAATCGTTGCAACCAGAGGCGAAAGCAGTATATATATATATATATATATATATATATATATATATATATATATATATAGCGGCTTTGGGGAGCACGGAAATTTGGAGTTATCATACCGTATGGCTGCCACTGCCATTTGTGTATATCTCCGCAAGATAAATGTAACAGGCTGAAATATAAATGACTCATTTTAAAAATGTTGGCTTGTATTTATTAAAAGCGATCTGTTTTTCTTTTTAAGTGTAGATAAAGATGGAACCGATTTTGAATGGATGATACTTTTATGCGCATAGAAAATTAATTTTACCAGGTTAGATATATAATTTTTTACAGTTCGGCATTTAGCTTTCGCGCTACCGCCTAGTTGACGCTATGTTTACAAGAAAATATAAAGAATTCGTATCCGGATGTTACATTTTTACGAAGATTGAAGTCAGAGACAGGTAATAAATTGCCTTTCATGATCTAATCAAATCCTTACGCTCTAATCAGTGTATACACGACGCTTCCACACTGTAACTTTAGGTGCCTTTCAAAAACAAGTTTTTTATTCATTGTTTGACCACTATCAGTAAACAAGACCTTACACTCAATAAAGTCTCATAGATTTTGCTCCATTAAGGACGTTAGCCACTAGAATATTAGAAATCGTAATAGTTCACCAGAGAAAGATGGAGACCATTTACAATACCGAGCCAGTTTCTATCGGATAGGTATCTCTGGTTGGTCAAATGTCATACTTCGACAAACGGATCCGCTCGTGCTGCAGATTCCTGATAGCATCCTCTCTATTTAAACATGGGCCATTTTTGTCATCAATACTTCGAACGAACATCGGCCATATGTTAACATGTCTTACTAGAAAATGTTGCCAACATAAAGAGGAATAACAATGAGATAGTCGATGTTTCTAGGACAGACGCCAGAAGTACACAGAGACATGCTTGCTGAAGATAGGGATAATACACGAGATTGTTACACATACACAGGCTCAATAAAAAACAACAGAATGCATTAAAAATCTATCAAAACAACGTTTCAACAAAAAAGACGGTGTACCGCAGAACCTATAGTGGCTTCCCTACAGCTATTTTCAGTCGGCACCGTCTAGGCATTTGGCGGCAATTTTAAATCATTCCCAGTAACGCCTACTTTGTCGTGGCACTACCCGAACACTGTACCATATAGTCCCTTTTTTTTTGCTGTTGTTATCGTTCATTGCACTATACACCTGGTTGACCAATAATTTTTGATCCCATATTTATTTGTAACCTTTCTCTTTTGGTTTGTCATTGTATTTCACTATACGGATCTGTTTTTCTCTTGTAGATTTACACTAGGAAACATTAAGGCTGTAAAAATGGACAAATTTCACTTAACTTTTTGTTGAGAGAAAAAAAGTAGGTTTTCATTTTTTTTTTTTATATTTTGGTCTTTTTCCATTGTAAATCTACTTTAACCAGTCCACGATGTATATTTATATGTGATATTTCGTGAATCGTTCCAACCTACCATTGCTTACTTCAATGAAAAGCTATTGAGTGCAGTGTATACATTATAATGTATTATAATGGAAAATCCAATCATATGCTCAAGTCGCCTGGTTATCAAGCCACACATATACAGCTTCGCAGTATTCAGAAGCAGTACGCCTGCGTACGATTGCATAGCTTTTTTTTTTATTTATAACTTTTAATGTATACCTGCATTTTTTTTTACCCAAGACCAATTTCCTCCTGTAATCGTCGCCTGAATAAGTGGCTCTCAGTATGGTCTCTGTATTAGTGAATTTTACATACAAACGGATATTTGATTCTAACTATGCGCACGGCGCATACTGTGATTGACCAAACGAATACGTATGTCTGCATATATTTTCGGGTTGGATCTGATTTTGTCAGTCTTTTTTTGCTTGACGGTTTGCGGCGGTGCAGTACCCATCATCGTCGTAAATAAAAGTAAATACGTCCAGTGGATCGATCAACCTACTGCGATTATGTGTGGGTGACCGTTATTAGTCATTAAAATTATGGGGCAGGAAGAATAACGACTTTATCGATAACGGCAGTAACGTAACATTGAGGAATGCCTTACCCCTGTGTCTGGTTACCAAGACCTGTGATTTTTATTACGGGTGTAGTATAATGCTGTTACTACCTCGCACCTGCTGGTAAATAGATGATTCGGGGGGCAGGATTCAATAGAATGGCTATTTTTCAAGGCTTAGTTGTGTTGGTAACAATAATAATTACAGTGAATAACGGTTTTAAATGAGCAGTACCGAATGGAAATGATTGTGTGTCTATGTGTCAGGGAGATTTAACGCTAAGCAGATCCTGATATGCTTGAAGTATAAATTCGAGGTTCTTGCTGTTAGCGTGCTTTTCCGTCATAGTGTAATGGTAGTGTCTAACACGTAAAGCGGTTTGGGCTTGAACATGGGCGCGGAAAATGCATATCGTTTAGTGCTGCGGAGAGAAGTACAGCTTCATAGAAAATTGTTTTTCTTCTTCTTCTAATACGCAGCTCTTCAAAACATTTTGTGTAAATACAAGCTTTTCATTGAATTTTAGTGAAATGTTGGTTAGTTCGTTGAAACGCGTTCCATGTTGATGATTTTAAGCACTAAAGTTTAACAGGCCTTTCATTTGTTAGGCATTGCCGAATCATTCAGGTTCTTAATGGCTTCTTGAAGAAAGATTTCTCGATGAATTATGAAATTGCAGTGTATATATTTGTTGAGTGGGAAGTATCCTGCAGAAAAAGTATTCTGCATTTAAATTCTCATTAAACAAGAAAAAATTAGATGGAAATATTTATTTGACGTTTCTCTTCAAATGATATAATATTTTATATAATTCCTTTATGATATAAGTATAGGGTAGAGACATAAGGTGGTTTCATTTACGTGCAGCAAGTAAATGATAAAAACAAAATTACGTTTACGATATTGCTATGCTCGCTAATTGTTTCGATCCATATATGCCGTTTGCATATGGGTATAGTCATCAATCGCGTTTTTATTACTTTTCTCTCATAAATCAAGTGACGATACAATAATCAACTATCCAGTGGTGTTCTGTTTCTAACTTTAATCATTACCTCAACCTTAACTTTAGTCTATTTTTACTTATTTCCTACTGTATCAAATAGAACAATAATCTAATTTTAATGGGTCTGAAAATCAAAGCTGAGACTCAATTCCGTTGATTTTTCGAAGGTACACAGTATACAGAATGGGCCGAAGGTTTCTTGATCGTTTTTTATTTTACATCTCTGTAATGTACACTATGCATATATACAATAATTATATGTCGAGAGACATTCGCCCCACCTTATATATATATATATATTACAGCAAAGTTATACCATGGAAAATAATACCTGTCTCAATATTCAGGAGCACCGACTTCAGCAACGGTGGCGCCAGGAAAATCGTCTGCTAAATCAGGGGCCGCCGATGAAGCCATTATTCTAGCGCCGCCTATATCACCTTTGGATGAAAGCCGAATAGAGCAGGCTTTGAACAAACTGAAGGAACAACTTGGGAAACCTGAAACGTCGGGTGATGATGCAGGGTTCGACGGAGAGGACTTCCCAGAACAACAAATCAAGAGTTTCATAACAAACAAAAGTATGTTGAATTTGAGCGGATATGGAACATGACCCTAGGCTTTATAGTGACGCGTACGATTTAATGGTGTGAGGTAGATTTTTTTATTACATAATTTTATTTTTGCATAATATAGATCAAGGGATGGGATTTTATTGGTTATTCATTTTGAAAAAAAACGTCCTTTGCTATTAATCTGGGGCATTACGTTGACAAAATGGCCACGCGTTTATTTGCGTGTTTAGACTGGCTTATCTTGACAGCATGTCTCAAAGGGATTTCGACATTTTTGTCGATGGTATGCAGTGAGAAATGCGTGACTCTCTTTCGGCAATCATTTAAAGATGCTGTTCTTTAGGTTACACCGCTGCAATTACCACAGTGAGATAATTACCGAGCCAGCGAAATTACATATCCGTTCTTGAAGGGCGTCGTGTGAATTTAAGGGTCAAGGCTGCTACCTGCAACTTGGTAGTATTATTAGCACAAAACACAAATTTTCCTATTTTTGCACATGTTTATTTATTAGTGAAGTCAGCTTATCTAAACAAGGCATATTACCTATTTTTGATTAAAGCTAAGTATAGCTTTGGGCTGACATCTGTCCCATCTGAGTCCAAGCAATTTTCATAAGTACAGTTAGCGTGAAAATGCATGAAAATATTGATGAACATGAACCCCACCCGTAGTTAGCTTTCAGGAAGTGTAGAAATCTTCCGAATACACAGTGGTATAGTCGACCTGTCGCACAGCAACGACAAATTAAATTTTTTACAATTTGAATTAGGTTTTACGTTTCGCTATTCGCGTTGGCCCGGGCAGTTTCAAACGAATAGAAAACTGGTTTAGGGAAATTTTGTTATTAAACAATTAAGCCTGTATTATGAGAAACTTCATTGATTAATCGAAAATACGGATTCCCATTTGATGCTATTAGGAATAAAGGGTGAGCGTTGAAAAATCAGTTGAAGTTAGTTTATTTGACCAGTCCAGATTAAAGAATTACAATAACTATATTGAAATCCACGGAAAGCGGTGAAGTACGTGAGTTATGCAAAACCGAATCGTGCTTAAAGAGTTTTCTGCTCTATTTTGAAATGAAACAAAATTATTTAGGTTTATGGTCGTTGGTCACAGGGATAAACCCCTCATAGCCACTCCCTTGATTGGTTGTCGTAGATATCTTTTTACAGCTACAGCCATTTTCAATATTTCAGTGCATACAAAATCGGCCAGACCAAAAAACGGATGTTCCTGCTTCAGATGGCCCATTTAAAATCTGGCGCTCTCCTGATCGTTGTTAAGAATGCAATTGCGCCCCTATGTCTTTATTAAAATCTTTCGAGTCTTACCACCGTCAAAAGATCATTTTAGAGAAGAACGGTTTTTGCCATCGTATCCTAGCTAGAAATCTTCAGTACAACCAATTTAACAAACATCGTTCTTTCCCTTCAACCAAAAAAAGTTTGAAACGTAAAGCTTCGAATCCTTTGAACTACCTCTTTGACCGTTTCCGCCAAAAACCAACAACGGTGGCTCCTGTCAGTCTTGAAGCCAGTCGGCTAAGGCCTGATTCAGCGTGACATCCTATAACGTCTGCGACATCATTGATACCACCAATATGAAACACCTTCTGGCCTAGTTTTATCGTTGAATGGAAGGTGCCTGTATAGGCTTATTGCGTGTTCTGTTGGCGCCTGCAATAATTAATAGTATTTGTTTAATGTATATTGTACGTATTGTTTTAAAGAAGTGACAAGATGTAGGCATACCTTTTAATTACTAACAATCGGAAAGAACAGCCCTGCCCGTGTTTTTCAATAGCTTTTCTCCCCTGTGCACGTCGAATACGGAACACCCACATTAGTGTCTCGAGTTCGGAGGAAATTCTATTATATTACAATTATTGCTATCCAAGCTTCGTAACCACAATAAGCTGTCAACTGCTGGAGTCACGCTATTTTAGCCCAAAGTCGATTCAACGTCCCAAGGTGATAACTGATCGGATCAGAGTGAGGAGTTTTGTCATTCATAAATCCACACCACGTAATCTCTTACGGCGCAATCGGTGTTCTTCTGTTAGACAATAGCGAAGAAAGCTCGGAACTGTGTGCGTTTAACCCTTTCGGTTAACATCTTACAACTTAACGGGAAGAAACTGAGGTGTTTCGCGGTTATTGTATGAACTATAAATTCTTTGTCCAATAAAAATTGTTAATCCTTTTACTCGTTACAATCAACCGTTGATGATGTTCAGTCAGTTACAGATCTCTTTATCACAAGCAAATCTTTCGAACTTCCTGCGTTTACACAGGCCCTTAGACAGGATTTGTTTCCTTGCCTTACTGAAAAGTTCTTTTCTATACTTAGCCGAAATACAATTTACTAGTAAAAATAAAACTTTTAATATCCTGTATTTTTTTATTTCCTTTGTAATTTTTAAATTCTTAACCATTTTGAAACGTTTCAAACGGAAACGAACTAAAAGATTCATAGCAAAATTCATCCCAAACATTGGATGAAAATCATATCAAAATTGCTTATAATGCCTTAACTAATGTGTTGTTTTCACAGAAAAATTATTTAAGGCTTGTAAGCCCGTTCCTGGTCATTTGTCGGTGATTAATTGTCGGTCCTTTTTATCGGCCACGATGGTGACATTTATTTATGAGTCAAAATAAAACCACCAGCGATATGCTATAGCTTACAATACACTAAAATCATAGACACTATCTTTACATTTTATGTTGGTACATTGTTATGTTTGATATGATATATAGTAATTAAAAACAATACTATATGTATATATATATGTATAGTATTGTTTTTAATTTTACAGTTTATAATATAAGGATTCAGTTAGGTTTACTTTTTTATTGTTAAGAACATTTTGCTTTACCGAAATGGTCCATGCCTGCTTCAGGTGGTAATAGAGTGTACGACGCTATGGACGTCTGCGTGTGCTATCATTACAACTTCTACAAAAACAAAAAAAAAAACTCAAAAATATTTTCATTTGTATAGAGATAAATATATGTGAAGTCCACCCCGAAGATAGCGATTTCGAAAGTTTCATCAGTTTCGATCTATTTACCTATGTTAATATAAGCTTGATTTTACCATTATGTTTTCTATACAACTGCGAAACGCAATGGCTCCTGCATATGAATCGGGCATGAGCGTAACCTTCTTACTTGACTCAGTCCTCCGCGATTAAGACGTAATGGTCAAAAGCGTTTCGAAGATCCGCGAATAGGCGTTCGAGGGTGAGCGAAAACGGATAAATAGTTTTCCAACTCACTCACCTTCTCAAAAAGCGCGAGGGGGCGCTATCCTGTTCAAAGGATAATGCACCTTCCCTTGTTTCTGAAAAGTGTGAGCTCGCATAGTACAACTGCCACTTGTTCCAGCTGTAGAATTTCGTTCATGATTTGCTTGCCAGCTCTGAGAAACTTTTGGTGGTTCAATGGTTTTTTTTTTTTTTTTTTTCTAAACGCGTAATCGGCGCCTTTAATGGCGGTCCTTTCGTTTTGGATGCGTCGGAACAGATTCGGCTATGACTACGTAGCACTGTTGCCTGCTTTGGTTATATGTGAAGTATTTGTATGAAGGCAAAATGAGCCAATGGACTGGGTAACACTTGCCGTCGGCAAACAAGCCAAGGCCCGAAGCGTGATTGTGTAGAGCTTATGTACGCAAGTAGAATGATGCCATAAGATTCGTTTTTTAGCAACCATTTTTTGATATGTGTGAGAACAGTTAAACGTAGTTTAAGAGCAACAGTTACTAGCACCGTTAATCGTGTTCGAAATGTTAATTAACGTTATGTTTGCGTTAGAAATATCGGCAGTTGTGCCCCGAGAATTTTGAAACGTTGAAAAAATACACAATTCGGCTAGTGCTTAGTTCACTCCCCTAGCAGAACCGCGTGCTGAAGTGTTAACGTGGCTACCAACAAGTAGAAATACACCTGATTTATTAAGGTATTGTAGATTTCACAGTTTAGAAATGGACAAATTTCTGGGTGAACTACGCAGATTCGCACAAAGAAAGAAATAAACATGGCCGAGCACGCGCTCAACTGAACGAAGTTGGCCACTTTTAGAAACACGCAAAAACCACCGCTCTCTCTTACCTTGACCATCTGCTTACTTTGCCTCCTACTTAAGGAGGTGGAGCAGACGACAGAATACTGTCTAACAACCAATTGGGGCAGATAATGATGGTAAATCTTGTGAGAGCGGACGTATTTAAACTAGCTTAGTAGCACTCAGTCAGGAACATATAATACATACTTGAAATAACTGGATAGAGATTGACTTATTTTCCTAACTTGAGTAAATATAACTCAGCTCAAACGCCCCAGGCTTAAGGCGGTTCAGATGGGCCAGCGATTGGGCAGTATAACCTTTTATAGCTCTTACTTTAATGGTTTAACGAGCATTTAATGATCCGTAAAGCGTGCTGAGTCTACTGCACATGTTCATAATCGTCTAAAGCAAAGTAATGAGAACCACACGGTCGTTACTTGATTTGAAAGGATACCATGCAACGGTGTTTATATAGATATATATATATATATATATTGCGTCAGTGGGTACAACTTGATTGTATTGTTAATTAGAAAGAAAGTATTGTTATTTCGGCAGATTTGAATGACTTGGGAATTACGGTCTGGAGGCATTGGTCATCCTGAGGACAAAGAAGATTATTTCTAATAATTACATAGTTATTTTTCTATAGAATATTAATTTGTCAATGAATATAAAAGGATTTTCTTTTTTAATTTATAATTAATTCCATTAGCAGAACCTCTTACCTAATCTTAGGCCAACTGGCGAGATACTTGCATGCTTCCATATAATTCGCCGCGAAAGCTCGTTTTATGACAGCATCAGCAGCTTTCAATCAGGTCTCCTAACTTCGAAAACTCGAAACTTTATGTGCAAGAATTCATTTCGAAGCTTACATCTTTACAGAAACGACGCTACACATTATACCTATGTGCACGAACGCCTTTTAATAATCTCTATAAAACCATTAAAACCAATATCCCTAAGTCAAGTTCCAAAACGCTTTTTGCAGTTTTCAGATAACAGCAAATTAACAAAATAAAAAATAACTTTACAATTTTTTTCCTCCCTCCTGCTTACCTGCGTTTGTTCTATTTCGTGTCTTGGAACGCCACCGCATGACACCTCGTCGATTTGTCATGCGAAAGATAACTAGTGAAAGCGAAAAAAAAAAGATAATCGGGGCAAAAAGGGACACGTACGGAAGTAGACCCCTGTTGGAGCGAACCAGTTGACTTTTACGCCGCTCCTTTCTTAACCTGTGTAGCGTTATCTGGATATTAATGACTGCTAGTAGCGTTAATGACGTGAAAAGGATGCCGCTTAATTTAGACGACAGCGGTGGCGCTTGCGGGGATTTCGAAGTACGAAGGCGTTTGTTAGCACCTTTTCAATACAACGTTGTAGGATCGCTACCCCAGAAGCAAGGTCGTTCCGTGCACTGCTATGTATATATATCTTATGCTAAAGGTCTGACTTTTTAACTGTAGCCTACGTCAATTCGCATTGTTTGTTCTACAAGGCCGACGTTTACTGTGGCTGTTATTTACATCAGTGTTACACATGGCAATGCGAATCTAAACAATGGTTACGAACTACAGGTGGAGGGCGGGCTCAAACGCGTCTGCAGCCATACCAATTATTTGGGGAATAAGCTTCTACACAGTTTTCATCTTTGGCGGCTCGTTGTTGGCCAGGACGTCGATCACGGTAATATCTGCCTGCAACGATGTTAAATCCCTGTGTGTTGATTCAATGATTCATTGGCAGCGACTTTACGAAAGTCTCATGGTATACGTCATTCACTAGCCGCTGAATACCTTGGTAGCAAGTGATAAACTCGCTATAGATGCCTGTATTTTTTCTTATATCACTGCGTGTATCACAGAGAACGAACAAGAATCAAGATAATCCAATGTCGCGATTCAGTTTTTTTCGTATCGTAATCATAGTGGCAGCTTTTAAGGAGGTACCTTTCCAGCAGCGTTTTAGAATCATCGTCATGGCAACTATTTCCGTTGTCTACACGCAGACGGATGGACCACATTCGTTTCCATACATTGTTGTCCCAGAGCAATACATTGTTAGTGGGAAGCATTTCAATGCGCGTTAATGATGAGCCATCGTCATCGAGCGATGCGAGCAAGGCGTCACATGAATCTGGTAGCGAAGAGATAGTAATGGTACTCCACAAATTTGCTGATACACTGGTTCCTTTGCGCCAAGTGGAAACCGGATTCACGTAGAAACGCCATTGCTGAAACGAACCCAGTTAACACAAGCGACAGACGTAATGTTCTCATACTAGGCTGGTAACAACACGTTTGCCGGGGAGCTCTGCAGTTCCAGATATAGCCTTATCATGCCGCCGATATGTGACATGAGACAAGGGACCGTTTATCTTTGTTCCTCATCTTTGTCTTTGAACCTTGACTAATATGCTAGCAACTAGAACATCCGGCATGGCTGTCGGTACAGAGGAAATATTGTAGTTAGCCTGCCATTGCAAGGTGCCGGCATGCATTATAAACAGAAAATAGGAAAATCTTAACATACCCCTTCATTTCGTAAGATATGCATTGTGTACAATGTAATCATGATATATGGGAGAATCTCAGGTCTTGTCGTATCGAATACAGTTTGGCTTGTTACTATAGGAGCAAGCCTTGGTTACCATTATTGGTGAAATTTGGTCTTTGCAGACTTGCCTTAAAGCTTTTAAGTATTTTCCATAAAATAATTTCAATACCATTTGTCCTTAAACTTCGGACTTAAATTTCAGGCGATGCTAAAACGTCTCTCGATGAGGATGATAAGGAAGCGACGGATGCTACGACAAAAGACTCACTTATGTTTGAAGAAACCCATAACGATGACCAGAAGACTGAACAAGCAAGCCTTCGCGATGACGCAACAGATAGAAAAGAGGTAATCTCAGCCTAAAATTAAAAAAAATTCATCATAATTTAATTTTCTAACGAATTTATAAATGCAGTACCGTATCAATTTGCATATCCCAAACTAAACTGAAACTGGAGACCCACTAATACCAACTCTCTGGAAGTATCGCCTATGACTATGAAGTCAAGCGCTATTCTGTTTACATCAGGTATAGCGCCCACATCAACTGGGCATTCTAACGAAACTTATTGAGTGACTTATCCGATGACCCTGCTTACCTGCAAATAATTTGTCTCCAACTCCGCTGAACTGAATACATTGAGATTACAGACGCAGGTTTGTAGCGTTCGTCTTTCTTACGTTCTGAATATGATCTTTTTACGAATATTTACGCCACGATCATCTGGTTTTATCTGCATAGGTATCGACTCCCTACAAATCACCACATTGATTCCATTTATGATCTGTTACCGCTCTCAAAGCAAATAAACAAAATAGGGCGGTGACGAACTACAAAGGACTGATGGGTGACGGGCACAGTCCTTCCACTTCTTGACTTCTTTCTAGCTTCCGATTCTCCTAGAAGCGTACATATAAATCCTTTTTTTACAACTATCTGTTAGCTTGAGTTGAATCGTCTTAGATTATCTGCCACGAAGATTTGAAGCATCGGTAAACCAACTAGACCATGATAGACAATACACAGCAAACATCTACGCCAGCCCCTATAATATTAGCTGCTGTAATCGGTCATTTCCATTCAGCGTAACGCATCCACGATCAACTCCGTTAATACATCATTTTGAGGAAGTTGCATCCTGCTATAGCAATAAAAGTGCTTCAGAATAAGCAGAAGATGACACCGTCCTGATGCACGAAGATCTGCACGTTACACAATCTATTAGCATTAGTCCTAGTTATCGATGCATGGCCAATAAATCTGCTTTGATTATCTCTAATTACATGGTCGTCTGTGAAAGCGATGATAATAACGGCTGTTTTGTCGTTTCGGCATCGTCCGAGTTCTGTGTTACGGCAAAATAACGAGATGGCAGAGACAGAAAATAGAGCAAAGCGGCGTAGCTGATGGGGATTGACCGACTTCTCCAGCAGCTAACGCTCTTTCATCGATTTGGATCACTTTGGTAGCCACTGCGTCTTCTGCGTACAGAGCGAAGAGGAAGTTATAACAGAAAGTAATCTCCTATGGGATGATTGGTTCGATGCGAGGCAACATGAGGAACAGACTGTTACTTCTAATGACTGATAGAATACGCTGTGTGCTAGACACTTCGCGTGCCCGGCTTGGCGGCCTCATTGCAATTACCCTATTGCCGTAAAAATTAGAAGAAAACGAAGCTCAAAAGTGTAGCATACATATTTAGGCGGCCAGTGTTGTGATGTGATGGGTCACAGAGATATTCGTGCTGATGAAACTTTGGTTTTTCTGTATTTGAAGGGTGTTTTCTGTCCCCTACCAGCCAAGCTGCTGAAGAATAGAGGAAATTCGTTGTTAGAATAGGATCGAATTAAAAAATTAGCCAAATTATATCATTTTGTTATTGACTGATGTCCACAAATAGCGTATATACGTTGCAGAAGCTAAATTAACAAAGTGATAAAACCAGTCAGCAAGGATGTGGCTGTTCCGTACTTATTAAAAATTCAATTGATTTGCGGTGGTTACATGTACAAATTTTGGTTGCGGAAAGAGTTAGAACAACTTGTTTTAAATTATCGGTAGAAATCGAAAATATATTTTGCCTCTTCTTACTATAATTTTTGGCCTTACAATACGGCACAAGGCCTGCTAAATCTTCCTAAAGAGGTCTGAGTGAATTTGAGCTGCACACAATGGGTACAAATTTGGAAAGGCTCCTTCTCTCCCATTGGCTATTAAGGAATAAAATGCTTGTTTCGTACATTCTATTGCCACACCAACACATCAGTGTAACCGAATGACCCGAATAATGTAATGGGTTTTCTGAAGAATCAGCTAAGGAACCCAGGTGTTCACATTGCTGTACATTAGCATACAAGTTAAATGTCAAAAACTACTCGGTTCAGTTACCATTTATAATACAGTCAAATTTTAACGACGGCCTTTTATACCACGTAATTTGTGTTCTTCCTGATGTTGCAGCTTAATCCATTTCAAAGTTTGCCAATATCCTATTTGAAAGAAAGTGTCGGTGATGAAGACCATGAATTCTTCATTGAAGACCCACATCGAATGCACCACTTTGCGGGGCCGGCTTTCCGCGATGTATTTGACGAAACGGATAGTGAAGACAATTTCAGTTCCAACGATGACCTCATATTGAGGTGAGCCAACAACCACATAGTTTTTGATTTTATTTGCGTATCTGAACATTTCACAGGTCTCCTTAAGAGAATCGTAATTTCCTATTTCTTAGATTGGTATGCTCTTATAGTTACGTCCTTGGTCGCAGGCCTGCTAGTTCAATATATCTCATTGACATTGTGTTAATTTACTGCAAGTTTCTCCATCTTAACCACAGTTATGTGTCGGTGATCGAAACTTAGGTATAATTAATTAGGTCTAGGACGATATAAGAACTTGATATTATTGTTATTCTGTTTGATGTCCTCTTTTTACGTTTTTTACGCTAAACTAGTGCGATATTTATAGCGAGAATACGGCTTAGTAACATGTGCTGGTAAAGAAGGTGCCACAATATTATAGCCTCATACAAGTATATGTGTATTTTGTGTTCAGAGTGTTGTCTGCATCACCGACGGGATCTACTCTAGGTGAAGCCGTGTCATACATAATGAATACGAAGAATTTCAATTTGTGAAATTACTTTACTACTTTAGAACGCTATTATCTTACAAAGAAAAAATAAGATATAAACTATTTTATTATTAGTTATAAAAATATGTTATGTCAATCATTACGGTGAATGAAGGTTTAGTTCTGTTATATATACGTACATTAAAAAATCCAATGCTTTTTTTCTTGATCACATTTTTAAAGATCCGACGAGCTATTCAGTCGTCGCCCTCAAAAAGAATCTCGGTCTGAGGCCGCTAAAGAGGACGATGGTAGCTCTTTAGTCGAACCCGAATTAATTGTCCCTGAAATCTCTGACGAACCCAACATCCCAAACCGCGAAACTGTTGTACAAGAAAAAGACGTATTACATATAGACGCTGATGATAATCTTCTTAAGCCGAAGGAAGTGCACAAACATGTCGAGGAGCCTTCGTTAACCCTTTATACGGCAGAACTTACTCCCGCAGTAATTCAGGATCATTCCACGGAAACTGTCTCTGCCGGCAGCTCCACTAGCTCTGAGCTAAAACCCACTCCCGAACAAGCTTTCCCGAGTACTGCCACCGCTGCGAGCACAAGCACAACATCAGAGACAGTTACAGCAGCAGCTTTTGATCCTTTGCCCGCAAAGAAAAGGATTCAATCGGGAGCGCTTGATGGTGTTATCTTGGAGAAGGACAGCGTCATTATTTCCACGGTTCAAGTACCAAATTCTAAGGACACGGCGATCTCGGCTCGTCCTACACCAACAATAGTACCAGCATCTACGTCCGCTACAATTGAGAGATTGAGCGACAGTGAGTTAATCAATGAAACGACTCGAGCATCAGGTACCACGGATGGCCAGACTGCACGACCTACAAAGGTAAATATGCAGCTAATATATATATTATGTTATTACTATATATAAGCGTTTTGCTGGTACTGTTATTGAGTAAATAAAAATAAGTATTGATCTAAAGTCTGTTTGGCTGCACCGAGTGTAACAATCGTATTAATTCAATATTTCCTAAGTTCTCTTACTTATATCAAACTTATCTTCATGGCTACAGCTCTCTGCTTCATTCACGAATTCAGCCGATTAGAGCTGTTTGATGAATGACTAAATAGTGTCTGCTAAAGTATTCTAAATTAAACAAAAACACACTACGTATAAAATCAGCAAACCAAAGTTACATTTTGTCTTTATCTAAACGAAATTCCAGCCAACAACATCTGCTCCGTCGACGGTTCAAAAAATTCCTCAGTTCATTAAGCAGATTTATGAAGCGGCCACACATCGATTTCCCAGCTTTATTCACTCCGGATCGATAACTGAATACAGTTCGACCCAGAGTTCAGTCGCTATTCTGAATAAAACCGAGAGCCTGCCTTCAAACGACGAAGCTTTCGATGTTACTTCAACTGTTTTCTCCGCTGCCGCCGATGAGAGTTCCCCAAACGTGACGATTGGACCCCAACGGTCCCCTGTAGGATCTACTGGAGTACCACAGAGCAGCGACGAAGAAAATTACGGGCAAGCTGCAGGCACTTCCGAACATAGCACACAAGGTGAGTTGAGCCGCAACATTTGGCTTTGCGAATAAATATCCAAAGACTATTGGTGTGTAGTAGCTAAGCTGTAATAAATTTGTTGGAATTTTACGCGTGATTGATTCTGCTGCTGTTAAGCCTGCTTCAGCTTGGCCTACCCACTAGGGCTACCGGCAATCATCAATAAATACTGCCACGGGAGAGCCGATATTTAGATTTAACAAACAAAATCGTATTGCGAGCAATAGATATTCCGCGACTAGCAAGATCACCTCGAATTCCTTAATTGATCGATGATGAAGTCTGTCCTCTCCACTAATTCGCGCTTCGTTTACATGTTTGGGGGCTCATTGACGACCTCTACCTGTCAATCGACGTCGGTGGAATCGAATACTGCCAGCCGTAAGCAAAGCACGTCAGTTCGCTGTAGAGGTGTGTCTTTTCCAAAGACTGTGTTTACAGAGTCCCAGCTACAAGGAAGCGCCCACCGCCAAGTCGTCAAGTTGGCGCAATGGTTTTTTGTGGTCGAAAGAAGTGGCCAAAAGCAATAGTAAGAGCGAATCCGACAACGACTCTCTTATCACATTCAGCAGCGATGGTGATGTGGACACAATTGGGACTCTGCAGTTTATTGCCCCAGACCCACAAGGAAACGACGAACTGAATGATGACACCGACGACGATTACGAAAAGGACGATGACATCGATGAGGCAAAACAGGACTCCGTCGTTGGCAAGAAGCCTCAGACGAACTCACCTAATGCTGGTCGCAAGAAAGTGCAAGCTCACGGAGGCAAAAGAGATCCTGACGATGACCCCGATAATGAAGAGCGTAACAATAATCCGATCAAGAAAAAAGTGGGAAACACCACGTCGAATATTAATTATACTGACATTCTGGCATCATTAACGCAAGACTTCTTTGGGGATCAATCAAACGACCAGACTGCACACATTATTGCAAAACCTATATCGAGGCTTAGTCTGTATATAATACCTCTCAATAAGAGCGGCAGCTTCAATAACGGATCGCATGCGGAGCTACGGCCCCAGACAAAACCAATTCAATCGCTATATTCAACGCAACTAGGGTGGAATCAACAGAAGTTAGCGGTACTGCATCGACTTGCGGGACCAGGTGCGATAAGCGCAAAGATACTAAAGTTTAATTGGAAACAAACAAAAAACACAAGGTGAAATGACTATAAATGTCCACAACTTAGCTTGAAGTACGCGACCTGCAATTGGATATGATGGGTCGCACACTAATGTGTTGGTCCTTTGAAGCACATTGCACCCGAACCAGATCTCAACGTACGGCAGCATGTTGTATTCACGGCAATACCTTCGTACCTGAACACCTCTAAATCAAATATTTAGGGTTTTACAGTTGCCGCTGAAAGTTGCTTCAGGCTGCTGAGCCCCAGCACGATACATATACAAGCTCTACTTATGTATCTTTTCGGGTCAACTGTGTCCAAATATCGGCTATTATTGGTGATCACCTACGAGAGTGCTACGCACATGCTGGAGGTGATGCATTCTAGCAGCAAACTCCCATTTCTTGGTGTACATGATTTATGGGCGGATTGAGAGCACGGTAGTTTTTGAAGTACAGGATTGCTGTACACTTACCGTTGCTATATTAGTCAATTTTTTCTTACAAACATTCTGAGTCTTCTTCACATAAGTCGGATAGGTTATTTCTACAGGAAGCTTTTAATAAACGACATTTTACAATAGCTGCATATCCTGAGCATCCACTTTGAAACATACGAATTATGTTTTTTTTTCTAAGGTATGAATTAAGCTTTTCTGTGCGTACCTGAATTAACTAACTTGTTCACTCTGCGTCGAATGTCATTCCATTTACGACCTTCGTAATTGAAGATTCAGCAGGAGCAGGTTTTATGCCTGAGCTTCAACAATTTTTATCTTCTCCAACAACAGCGGCACCAGCAGCTGCAGCTCCAGCAGCTTCCGAAAATGCCTCGTCGACCACTAATATTTCCGAGACGTCAACTCTAGGGCCAATGATTGTCCAGTCAACAACCTCAGCTCCAGAGGACTCACCAATAGGCACCTTAGTGAAGGGAAGGCCCTGCGAGGGCCAAGTGGCTACAAGACTGGATCGCATCATGGACCATTTCCCAGCTCGTCTTCCGGAACTTCACGAATTTAAACGAAGACGATTCCTGCGTGCCGCTGTAATCGGAGGGTTACATACACTTCGTAGTACGCAGCGAAATGTGACGTGCAACCTGACCTCTGGTAACTGCCATTGCCGAGTAGCAGACTGAGAGTACGCTATGTCTATGTTTTTTTTGCATATTTATCACTTTTTTAATTATCTGTTTACTATCATAAGCAGGAATAACCTTATATGATAGGACTTCAAAAATATCTGGTCCGACAAGGATTATGTTGTACTTTTCTTATTTCATCTTAATTATTATACAAAATTAATGATACAAAGAACAAGGCTCAATGTCAATAATAACCTAACTTATATGGAATACTCTAATTGTATTTTCATGCTCGTCGAAGCTTTTTCACCTAAGTTTATACACAGTTCCCATTTGCTGCCATAACATGTTTATGTATCTGCCAACAGGTACAACCTATTGGGGTTATCGTCTACGCGGACAGCTTGACGGAATTCTTAATCTCGGCATTACTGGTCTTCCTCGAATGTACCTAAGATTTACGGGACCGCTAATCGTCCGGGTAGGTATCAAATTAAAACGGGCTTGCATCTTTTTTCAACTTATACTATTGACAAAATACAAGTTCTACCATCGTTCATTCAAAATGGAATTCCCAGCAGTTGCTTGCTTCGGTCCAGCTACTATGAATTACACCTTATAACATAATTCAAGCTCCGGAAAAAGTATATAACCCACACCACGTAACGTGTGGCGGAGGAAGCTGGCATACATGACAAACCATTTAAAAAAATATGTTAAGGACATGCTCAGTTGGTCTAGGCTTACATGCTACGTAGCCAACAATTCTGGGGACAGACAGCTATGGACAAGGTGAAATATGCATACATGATGAACGCCCCAGTTAGAACAAATGAAGCTCCGTGCAACAAAGATGGAGTATGGTTACAAAAGTTTGTCTTTAGTGAAAATCCTTTTATTCTATGATTTCTTACCATATTCTCTGGTTAGTACAACCTATTTTTAGGTTATTTTAGTAAAGTGAGCAGACCCTCGGGGTCATCTCTTCGGTATAGAATCTCTTCGGGATTAGAAAGTTTACCTGATGTAGATCTTGCTAGACTTTCGGGTTTCTCCATCACACCTATAAAAGGGCGTAGTAATCATATGCCATAGTAGCCGCTTGTCAACGGTAGAATTGGAACTAGGGCAGTAAGCTCAAAAAAATGCGCATTAGCCATCAAAACCGCGCCCCTTCTAAAAGCTTGCTTCGCTCTGCTGAAGCATGTCTCGGTCTACCGCAATTATGTCCGGTGCAGCGTTGGTCCATTGTAGGCCGAGTTTGTGCTGGAAAATACAGACTAATAGTAAAGCTCGTCTGTAGCAGCATAGCGACATAGTAGCAGGAACAGGGAAATTTAGAAAAGAACCAAAAGGATTTCAGGGAGAACGGATAGACGATCATGGTACGCTTCGATTTACGTCAGTGGTAGGAATGATTGGAGACCCAGGCAAACGATTAATAAGGGTCTTCTTGGACGCTACCAGGGCACATAACAAAGCCCATAAAGACAGACTGTACAGACACTAGGCAAAGCGAACATTACGTAGGTTACAACGATTAGGTTGCTATACGAGGAAAACAGCCTGATCGCATGATACACAGAGGTTCCACTTAAAAAGCAACTCAAGTCAAGGCGATCTAATGCCGACGATTATGTTTACGCAATATGTATCATAGTATAAGAAGAGATTAGCCGGTAAGATGACCGAAAGTATCCAACATATGCTACTTAAACCGTTTTGGAAACAGGGACTAGGGTGAACAAGCGAATGTCCTGCGGGTTGCACGGACTTATCAGCAAATAGCAACTTTACAGGATATTGCAATAAAAGTGGGCACAAACTGCGACTGATATGTGAGCCATCCAAAAGTCAAAAGAAATTTTCTCAGTAATTGTAACACGTAGAAACCGGACTGCGTCCGACCAATTCAAGAAAGGGTACTAGCAGAAAGAAAAAAATGATTCAGATAGTCTAAGATCACGCTGGACCAGAACGGTAACTAACTTTTTCAACAGGAAAAAAGTAGGTTCTGGTACTTTGCCAAAATTTTAAGCACGAAGAGAACTTGGACCATTTGGGTGCACAGACAATATCGTACAATAGCACAACGACTCTAAAAGTTCAGGGGGCTTGATTGCCATTTCTGGGAAAAGGATGCACTGAATTGATGAGCACGTTGCTCAGTCACATTTATAATCGGATATGCTATTTAGTTACAACAAAAAGACTTCTTAGTTACAATAACATTACTTTCATTTATATTACCAGGCCACGTTCAGCGCATTGGGTAGCGAAGATCGTCCAGTATTGGATTCGGTTGTGGTAGAAGAATCCCGTGTGGATGAAATCCATTATCAAAGTGTTCTCGGCTTTGAACAGCCGTTCGTTGAACGGGCTACGAAGTAAGTGGCAAGCTGATTTGTTAGTTGTATCGAAATCGAGACGTACTTCGCATGACAGTCATTCACACCATATGGGAATTTATTTCCATAAAGCAAGGCTTACATATAT